GCTAAACCATATTCGATTTGTCAATTCTACTGCCAGAAACTTAACTATAATTTTTGAAATGAACGTAAGGTTTCTTGAAGTTTGAACTCAAGTTACAGTCAAGGAATTAAATATCATTGTGTTCCTTTTCAATTGCACTAGGCTAAGCTTTAGTCTGGGTTCTCCCATATGAAAAGGTCAGGGCAGGGGTTTCATTAACATGTTCAACAGGAGGACACTTGGTTTTCATAGGTGGGCATCCTCACAGCTGGTCAACTTGCACGGTGCTCAGCCCTTAATGAAACCCCTGTTAGGGGTGCCGTTATCTTGCTCAGGGCTATAAATCATGGATTTTGGTCTCACTAAAAGTGTTCGTGATGAAACGCCACTATTTTTAGCTGTAAAAGTATTGTTTTTTTGCAAGTAATGTGCTGTCAGTATTGTATAGTGCCAGTGTTAATAAATGTTCTACAGTCAAAGTATCTTTTAGGGTGCACTTGAAGAACTAATGATAAAAAAAACACTCTTAATTCCATTTTCAGGTTGATTTCCACTAGTCTCTTGCGTACGGTATACTAACACCAGATCCTTTCCTCCTGAATGGCAGCTGGTAAATCAAGCCTATTTCTGTTTTAAGTGGTATCTTTCAGGAGTCAAGTAAAGCTTGAACCATGCCCAGAGTGATCTCCTTCAGGGGCTGAATTCAAATTTTCAGCGAGAATCCCCAACCTTTAATATGGGAGTTTCCCTCCCACTCTCCCCTCCCTCCACAAGTCCCTTAGGAGTCTTTCTTAACCACTGTACTTTTACAGGGGAGTGATTTTACTGTATATTTGGATTTAAACTGATCTAGCTAGGTTATACATGTATATATGGTCACAGCAGTTTGTAAGCCTACATAGTAATTAATAGCCCTACAACAAATTATAATGGAAGTCATCTGACATAAGTTATTTGTCCACCTATTTCCCCCAAGGAACATTATGAATCTAAAGTTGAAAACAACTTGAGAAAGTAAATCGTTATTGTGGATAGAATCTTGCGATCGTATCGCAAATTAATTGCTTTAAATGGAGTGAAAGTTTTCAGTACCCTGGCTTGCCAGAGTAACTTTAGCTAGCAGGCTAACACTTACGGCTTGTGCCATAATAAAATTTCGACTAAAACTCATACTTCCTTTTATGTTAACCTGTCTTCACAAGACATTGAAAAGCTTACCATTCGATTAAAACACCCTTCGTCACATTTACCATCTTGAAATGATTTCCAAAGGTCTCAATCCTTCCTAATTCTCCAGTAGCATCTCCAAAAGTTGAACAGGGAGTTGAATGAAATAGAGCTTGGTAACCGCTCATTGGCCCTTTACGGAGGAAGCAGGACGGTCTGGGGAGGGGTGGGGAGTACGTAGCAGTGGACCCCAGTGGATCCCTTGTACTGAGTTATCAGTTTGACTGATATAGCTGTTTGACCGTGTCTGCAGTATGTCCTCTTCTTGAAATGCACAAAATGCCTATAGCTGAGATTCTACGTAAGACAGCAGAATCCCATTATATTTGTTTTGAATATATTCAAGTTTTCAAAACTCCCAATTCTTCGCACCAAAGGTTGTTTCTCTCCACTCAGCTCAAGGGTAATTTTACTTAAATATTAAGAAACTGACCTAGTTAATATACTTAATGGTATGCATTTTTTGCAACCTTTTGTCAGCTTCATACCTTGCATTGCACCCCTCTCCCCCAAGAAAAATAAATATATAAAATCTCAATGAATCAACAAACTGAAGGTAATAATAAAGTTAACTTTATTTCATTTGTTGCAATTCGTTTTCTGATTCAATTCGCTGCTGTTGGATTACAAGCACAGTCACTTAGTATGTACTAACTACTTATTAACCGAGAGTTAGGTCTTTATTAACCGAGAGTGAACTCTCAGACCGAGACCTTACCATATAATAGCGGAGTTCTGGCGACCAGAAGGGCTGCCAAACAAAGCCCCACATTCATATAGGAAAGAAAAGGTAACCCATGAACTGATTTTCTCATGGTTATCATGGCTACTGGTATTGCTCATGGGTGTGTGCGCACAACAATGACAACGATGGAGTCATGCAAGATGACGGCCGTACTCTAGCTGATAGGTTGAGAGAGACCTGCCGCTAGCCTTGGTTTATAGCATCTTTCTTCGATATTAGACATCCATGTTATGGTCATTTGACACCTGTCAAAACAAGGTATCTGCTGACCAGTATCACATGACCATATCACAGGCTCAAGTTTAGAGCTCATCGAGGTCACTTGTTTTTTTGAAGTTGACCGCTGACAAAGTGCTGGTTTTCGATTGGATCGCAGACTCATATCACGTTGACTTGTTGTAAACAGGGCCAGGTTGTTTGGAAGGTGGTTAACACTAACCCAAAGTTAACTAAAGTATAAATTTTTCTTGTAGACCCATGTTTTTCCCTGCTTTTGTTTTGTGCATTTTGGGATTACACAAACTCAAAACAGAAGGCCAAACAATACACAGAAAACCTCACCGCAAAGTGCAAAACTCAAATCAAAATTGTTGCTTATCCTGGTTTAGCTTAATAAGGCTTTGAAGAGCCCAGCCAAGGAGCTCTGCTTTTAGCTTTTAGGCTTGGCTAAATAACATATTAAATACATGGGCCAGAGCAGGTGGCTGCTTTTGTCTTGATATAAGATGGAAGTTCCTGCCAATCTCTCCTAATTCTTGCATGCATCACATGTAAGATGTCTGTAAGTGACTTGTTCAATGATATTATCCAAAGAAGTCTCAGCAGTTTCGATAATCCTGCAAGCCAACCTAAATACAACCTCATTAAAAATCTTTAGAGATTAGAGAGATAATTTCCAATCTTGTAATGCCTGACGTAGGTTATGTTCTGCATCCTCAAAGCTTGGATCAATCTTAAGGGCTTGTCTAAGGTCTTGAACTGCCTTCTTGTATCTACCTGTAATTCAAAGGTAATGAGAATTAAGACTTCAGAACCGACAAACAGGCCAATTGCAGTTAGGAGTAAATTGAGGGGAATGGGGAGGGGGGGTTAGTGTTACGGTATTGTCTCACTCTGTCTCCACTGATTTGTGAATTACTGAAACAAATAGAAACTAGACTTGGCTTGATTAGCTGTTGTTGTTGTTGTTTTCCTGTTTTTCTTTTTGCATGTGTGTATTGAATTTTTGTCATTGGTTTTTGTTGGAATGGAATTGATAATCAAATGTTTAAAAAAAATTGGTCAAAAATGTGTTCTGCTGAGAAACTTAAGACACAAGTCAGTTTGTTTCTACCAAAGTGTGATGAACCTTTTCTGTAGGTTATAACTTATACACAGTATCATGTTAGGATCTTTTTGTAAGCTTTGACTTCTTTCAAGTTAACTTGGTTAAATCAACATAAGAAGGCATCTGTTCAGAAATCGTAGCATGATTTGCCTCTGACTGATATGATGCTGTCACTTTCATACTAAAGACCTCAGAGGAAACATTTTTGAATGTACTATACACCTCCAAAGTTCTACTGTTTTAACTTTACTGTTCTTCGTCACAAACAGGGTTTGAAAGCCACCTCCACTGATTACAGAAGACTAATGAATGGTGTTGTAATCAAGAAATAGGAAATTGCAGGGGTTTTTACATAGGCTGGCAAAAACACAAGGGATCATGTGTACTAACAGCATCCACGGTCGAGTGTTGATCGATACCCTCGATCCACACCCTTAGTCAACTCTTGATTGACACTCAATCAACATCCTGATCGATACTTGGTCGACACTTGACCAACATCTTGATTGACACTTAATCGACACTCGATCAGCACTCAATCAACAGTTGGTTGTTAGTCAGCCAAGTATCAACTGACTCATATGCATCAATCAAAATTTAGTCAACTCTCAACTGGTCAACGAGTGTTGATCCAGTGTCAACCACAGTGTCTGTGGAGCATCATTCAAGTCTTGATTGAGTGTCAATCAAGGGTCAATCAAGGGTATCGATCCACATTCGACCCCAGATGCCTTCAGTACGTGTGTGCATGATCCAGCGCAACGGGGTATATGGGAGAATTAGAAAGTTCCACAATGTTAATTTCAAATTAATTCTCCTAAGCTTCTTACACTGTTTGTATCAGCATATCTAAAAAACAAGTAGCCATTTTCCATTTTATATACAACGCAAATGTATAACGTTACTGTGTTAACATAGCCTCACGCAAAATGGTTTGCTGACCAATCAGAGCGCACGTAAAACTTTGTAAACACTTTAGCCCGTAACGTGTGAAGTAATTTTTTTATAAATTAAAGATGATCTTAAAGTAAATCTTACGCACCCATTCTGTAATGAACCTGCCCTCGGTTGTAGTAAGGTATTGTAAAGTCTTTATCAAGTTCTATAGCCCGAGTATAGTCTGAAATTGCATCATCGAATTTGACTTGCAAGTACTTTAAATGTCCTCTGTCGTTCCATGCACAAGATAACAAACGAGTTATTGATTTGCTTTCCTCTTTATACTGTTCAGCAAGTCCAATGACCTTATCCAATACTTTGAGAGCATCGTTATGACATCCATTACTTTGTAAAAGCTTTGCACGGTCATAAAGAGCTGCAATGCTGTCCGCCATATTGTAGGCTGAAAGAAGTCTGGACACTACTCCACCAAAAAGATAGGGATTGGAAACGAGTTTGGTTTCTGGCCGCCATTTTTCAAAATTACAGTTTTGTTTACAATCTGCAAACGGATTTTCGGCTTCTATCTTGATAACAATCTTCGAAATTTTAACAAGAATGTCCTTTAAAGAAGCTTTAGCAACTCCTAATGAGGTTATCACGGTTCTTGCTAGCGCCGAAGACGAAGAAGTCCTAGGAAAAGTTGCAAAGATCTACAACGAGGTCCAACAGGAGCGATCTCTTCAACAAGAAAGCGTGAAATCGACCTTACGAGCTTTTAGTAAATTACTGGCTGACAAAGAAGAGGAAGAGCAAGCTTCGAGAATCAACGAGAATTCAAATGGTGTAGAAACCCTTCAGGTTGATAGAGATGCTACCGTCAAGCACATCAAAAAGTTGGAAGCTGATGTTAAAGTCTTCGAGAAAAAAATAACGGGCAAGGAAGACGAAATCAAGGATTTGATGGAGAAAGCTACCGAAGTGAAAACCAACCGCGTGGAGATTCTTCCGCAAACTAAGTACAATTTCAGCCTATACACAAACGTGAGCCATATCAGGTGGGATTATGAGAGTGATGAAGACCAAGTCAAAGGATTCATTGCAAACTTGAATGACGTGAAACCCTTCTGCTTTAGTAAAAGCGCAAAGTCGAAATTTGACATTGTCAATTCTCTCTGGGATCTCCTTGAGGCCTGAGGACTGAACTTCAGATGATGCATATTAAGGGATTTGACATTTTTAATTGGTTTAAGAACATTTTAGTAAAAGTGAGGAGTTTGATCATAAGAAAGCTATATTTGAATGCTTAGTTAAGCTTATAGTCAAGTGAGACGGTGTGATAATGATGTACACTTGTAGACTGGTTTCAGAGAAATTTTAGAATAGTTCACAAATTTC